GAAGTAATGTCATACCTTCTTTCTTGGATACTACTTGTGCAGGACTTGCATATGTGTCATGTGAATTGAGTATATTTTTCCTCCTTCAAGTAACTTGACTACTTATTTCTTAACAACTTATTTCATATTGGGGTTCAGATGTCTTTGAGGTTAAGCTATAGATTTGAATTTTTGTTCCATCATGATTTTATGCATACAATATGATGGACTAATTCCTTTTAAATCACATAATTCTAAACATATTACTTCTTTGTTTCTTTTGATAATTTGAACCAATTTTCTTTCTTGTTTGTGGAAAGGAGAGTTGGTAATTACTACTTTCTTATTACCATCTTTTTCTATGAAAACATACTTTAAATGTGATGGTAATGTTTTTAATTCTGGTTTAAGGTTATTTGCTCTTAGTTTCTCGATTTGGGGTTCCTTGGTAGGAATTTCCCTTAGAGTATCCAGATTTTTCAACATATCTTCAACTTCTTGTTCCTCTTTTTCACTAAGGATTTTGTAAGTGCCTATTAATTCTTGTTCTAGAGGAAAAGGGTTATGAGGTTGTTTTTTAACCTCTTTTATGGCATCTATTTGAAAATAAATTCCCTTCTTCTTAAAATATTTCATTACTTCAAAAATATTAGAACTTTCCTACCTATCCTACACTCTAACCTTCATTTGACCATTGTCGACATCAATCATCATTGGTGTTGTCTTCATGAATGATCTTCCTAGGATTAGAGGCACTTCATTGTAAGAACTTTGAACTTTCAAAACAGATAAAATTGATTTTTCATAGGATCACAATGTTGATTATGATATTCACTATGATTTGTTATATGAGAAATGATGACAAAAAGGTTTTATATGTACTTGATAATAAGCACTAAAAATGGTTGAAAAAGTCAGTTAGATTCAAATCAAGAGCATTCCATGATCTGAATCAAATGAACAAGTGAAGTGGAATAAAAGAAAAACAAGGTTTTGACCCATTTTTCAGTTGATTTGAATCAAGATAAAAGTGTGACTTGAATCATGTGTTAAATTTAATTCGAATCAAACAGGCTGCGTTAAGTGAAGAAATATGGAAAATTTGTATGATTTGAATCATGTGTAAAGTGTGATTCGAATCAATTGAGGCAAAGGTGACCCAAAGTTTGATGGTTCGAATCATGTGTAAAATATAATTCGAATCAAATTATTTTAAAAATTTATGGTTCCAACTGTCCAAAATGATTTGAATCAAGATTTGTGTTTGATTCAAATCGAACACCCAAAATCCCAATTTTTTAAAATTTTAATGAGACTTTAAGATTTTTCTTTCCATCTAACATGAATCAATACCATATATGGCGCTTATTCCATTGACTCATACAATTGATTAAAGCATGATGATCAAGCTCAAACCTAACAAATGATTTATGCATGCTAAAAATGAATCTTTTCAAAACTTGATTCAAAGACGAGCAATCATGAATGAGATTCAATAATCGAAAGTAAATTAAAGATGAAAGTAATAAGGCAAACAACAAAATAAATGTATTGGTTCCCTTAATGTAATAGGGACATGCAACTACAATTATTACTTAAAATAATCATTTATGTTAGTATTGAAAAGACAACGAGAAAAGAAGCGAAAAGAAATAATAAAAACAATAAATTAAATGATAGAAAGGAAAGAGATAAAGTTAGAGAGATGGCGCCGAGATTTATACGGGTTCGGTCGAAGTTTAGCTTACTCTTATCTCCAAGAGATCTTCTTGAGAATATTAATAATTGTTAAGAAATTATGGTTGGATCTAACTCAACTTACTGGTTGGTAAGATGAGGATTTCCCTCACTTATAAAGACATGTTCATGCCATATATTATCCAATGTGAGACTCTTAACACACCCCCTCACGCTCAGGACTAAACAACTAGAGCGCAAAAATAAATGGTGGGTGGCTCGATAGCGAAAACCATAGAAGGTGGCCCACCGGATCTTAAACGAAACTCTTGATACCATGTTAAGAAATTGTGATTGGACCTAACTCAATCTTACAAAACCAGTTGGTAAGATGATGATTTTCCTCACTTATAAAGACATATTCATGTCATATATTATCCGATGTGGAACTCTTAACAATAACAATTTGAGCTTTTACAGGTTATGTCCATGAACTTTTGATACTAGCAAACTGAGAAATTTTACACTTGTTTATTCCCCCAATCAAACAAGAGCTTTTATATGGGATGAGATCATGAACAAAGTAGAGATTTTTCTGACTAATATCAATAATCAAACAGAACTTTTACCAAGTTGAGTTCTATAATCAAACAGAGACTTTCACTGGTTTATCTCAAGGACAAAACACAAACCTTCAAGATAATTAAACTCTGGATATAAACAATGCCACAGCACAACTACAACAGTTCTCTCACAAGTAGTTTTCACTCACACAAAATTAAGACAACTTTGGTCAAAGAAAATATTATAGAGAGAGGAAGAGAGTAATAAAATAGTAAGAAATGGGAAAACTTTGAATTCTGATGTGATTTCAAATGAGGAGAGGGCATTTTTCTTTAGGAAACAATTCATGGGTCGAATCAATGAGATAATTAATTATGTCAATCGATTATCACACTTAAATAATCGATTGTTCAAGCCACAAATGAAAGATTTTGATACTTAGTCATTACCAATCATTAAGAGTCTTGTTCCAATTGATTCTTAGTGTTACAAAGAAAAATAGTCAATTAGATAATTAGGGCTAATCAATTATTTAGATGTAATTCTACTTAAAACTAATCGGACAATTTCCTAATCAATCAGATAGGCTTCAAAATGAATTTTAGGTCATTTTAGTAAATAAAGAGAGGATCCTCAAAGGTTTTAAGTGTGTGAGAGAGTGCTTTAGTATCTTGCGAGTTACTCTCCTACTTTCACAAGACTCTTGTCACTCGACAGACACGACCAAACGAGGTTTCCCAATATCTATCTTTCTTAACTCTAAAGTTTCAAGTTCTTTTTTCAGATACACTAGCCATATAAGCTTCAAGTTCATTTCACAACTTCGAAGCACATAGAGGAATGTAAAAATCAAAGAGGTTTGACAAGTCAAGGGTAAAATGCCTCACTTGTAAAAGAATTGTCACTTCATAAAGGATTGTCCCGAGAAGAGGGGTAATTATGATTATGTTCATATTCCAGTTGCCTTTTATGAGGATAGTTACGAAAGTATTGGTGAATTAGTGGTGTCAAATTTGGAGACTAAAGAGGATTGGGTCATAGACTTATGTTGTTCTTGTCACATGTGTCCAAGAAAATAATGCTTTGAGATTTTGAAGTTGGAGCAAGGTGGAGTTGTTTTCCTTTGTGATAATAAGACTTGCATGGTTCATAGTATTGGTACGGTCAGACTTAAAATGTTTGATGATTGTGAGTTTCTTCTTCATAACATGAAGTATGTTCCAGAGCTCTAATGAAATTTGTTATCCCTAAACATGTTTGATGATCTAGACAATTGTACTAGAGTTGATCATGAGGTGTAGAAGAATCCGCATGATAAAATGACCATAGCTAAAGAGTATAAAAAGATTATGATTTATATAGTATAGAAGATTCATATTTTGTCCATTCATCATCAGTTAGTAATGACTTTCATCACAAGAACAAGTTGTAGGATTTAAGATCAAGGCAAGATGGATGTGTAGAGGTTGTTTAAGGGCACGTTAATGAGTTGTGTAGAAAACGAAATAAAAATGCAGGTTAGCGTTAAGTTGTCAATGAATTGTTGGAATAAGATAGGTGTCAAAACAGCTTATCTGATTTGCAGGTGTTCATTTACATGAACAGGCTTCCAAATACTTACGGAGGGGATGACTATACTTGGTTTTAAAACATTTAGAATTATACAGATACCTAAACTTCATGTATACTTGGTTTCACGTTGAAATGTCATCTAAACTTCAAATGCTTGATTTCACAGTTGAAACATTTTGAATTGATTCTGAATGTTTAGAATTAATTGACTCAGAGTAAAATTAATTCTGTTTTTCAAAATTAATTTTACTCAAAGTCTTGCGTAATTTTTAGCTTTCAAGTCTAAACACACGCTTCATCATCTCCACCACTAGATGGTGTTTTGAAATTCAACGTTGGTGTGGCGCACTTTGCCGAAGACAATTACAAGCTATGACATTCATTGTTGTAATGAATTTGGAATTTTCTGAGACAATCCAAATGGTTTCAATCTTACATTTGTTGTTGTAATGCATTTGTTAATAATTCAGCAGCATAGTGAAAGTAAGATGAAGAAAAAATGAGATGAAGAAGATGAAAAAATGAATTTCCTGCACATTTCCAATGTCCAATAGACTTACATAATGAATAACAAAATATATATGTCCTACAAACAGTTCCCCGATTCATCGGACCTGTGTAACAAAGCAATCTCATGAACTACTCCTAGAATTCACCATCATATGGTAACAACAAATCAAAGTAGGTGAAGGTAAAAATTGGTAGTAATAACAAAATTTAAAGAAACTATATTGATTCTTTAGAGTGGGGAACCTCACAAATTTAACTGTCCTAGTAGAGTAATGTTCTCAACACCAACATGATTGATGAAACAGGTTCTGGTGACTCTTTTTTCTCTGCCATTCAGTTTATTCTCCAATATATTCAACTATGGAATCTTTGTTATATTTGTTCCATAGAAGATCAATAATAGTATATCCTTTTTCACCAACCAAAAATAGAGGATGTGTTTTTTCATGTCACAACTCAAGGACTCAAATGATTCTCAAACCCATGTAGAGACTGTAATAATAACTCTGTCTGCAAAAATGTAGGGAATGGCAGCAAAATCCACCAACAAAGTTTTAATCGCTTTGCCCTCGACCATTTTTTTTTTCTCTCTATTGTCTTGAAGAAAATCTCAAGACCCAAAAAAATTTTAGATAAAATTCAGTCCCTTTCATATTCACTGTTGTACAAATCAAACTATAGAGATGATCCTCGGCGGACTATGATTCCAGGATATGACAGTTCCTTACAAAATCACTTGAATAATTGACATACTTGGTCCAAAATGGCCGAAGATGTTCGAAGCCAATTGGCAACCAAGGTTTTGATTGGCCGTTGTAGTGAATAACGGCAGCCTTTTTCAGGCTCTCGATATTGGTATTGTTCTGATAACCTAAGCCGAGCATGTGCCAAGAGGGATCGATCGGATGAACGTGACCTTTAAATGCAATCAATGCGGGAGGTAGGGTTCCTAGCTTCCACATTGTCAGGTTTGACCTCAGATTCTGCCATAGTGAAGTTGTCAATAATATAATCTTAACTAAAGAAAAATATAGAAAATTATTCAAGACTATCCATCCTCCACCACCCTATCTTAGCTTCACAAAAGGGTTTCCATTACAAAAATCAAATTTTGACGACAAATTTCAACAACAATTTGAATGGTTAATGCAGTTTAAATGTGATTAATTACGTCTAGTGGATGGTTAATTCATAAAACCAAGAGGCACAAGTCATTAATCATCCATTGAATGTAACTAACCACAATATAGAATCTCGTCAACTACGATAATCAGGCGTTCAAATATATATGATCTGCAGGTCTTCAAATGTACATGATATTCATTAGCCACAAATTGTGTTCAAATATACACATCGAAATTGTGGTTAATGAAGTTCAAAATCATAGTTAATTGTGTTCACTGATTGATTCATGAGCTGCGACACCTTTTATATCCATGACCATGAACCATCGATTAAAATAGTTTAACTATGTCCAAAGGATTGTGTCGTCTTGGGTAAAAATAACACACACCTCTTCTAAGAAACAAAAGCATAGAAAGGAATCAAAAGGTCACCTGAGTTACCACCCAACTATGACCTTATAATTAGTTTATTGATGAACGCCAAAGAATAAATTTAAAATTTTGATACACTGAAGTTAAAGTAATCTGAGTTTATATGAACTTTTACCTCTTTCAGCCAAGAATGATACGTCTCCCTTATATTTGTCCTTCTCCATGCACCAAGATCAAAGATATTCATTCCATAAGCCCACGCACACTCGTCAGGGTTCAAATGCTCTTTAACGAGGGGATGTGAAAAATTGAAGTAGTTCCTAAAATGTTTAGACATTACCCAATCATCTTCACCTCTGCAAGTTTCCACGGCGCCGTTTACCTTTCCTTCAAGGTCAATGTCCCAAAGTGGAGACAAGTCGCGCTGAATCACCACATCATCATCCAAAAAGACCACCTTTTCAAGGTTTGGGAAAAGCTGTTTGAGAAACACGACAAGCATAATTAGCTTAAGTATATTAAACATAACCTGATTTGATTTACATTTCCAAAAGAGGAGAAACATTTTGCTTGATTTAATCCTAAACCGCTTCTTAGTTTTTAACACGTGATTTTACATTCTCTTCAATTGCTGATTTGTGAAAATTCAGACACTCGATGCCCATAGCAACTTATCCACACTACAAATCATTTCATTAAGGCATTTTTAATTCAGTCACATAAAATGCAGAATACTACAGATAGATATTCAGCTTATAAAGACCAGCCAACCATTCATTCCTTACGTTACATTCAACATTAAATTATGATATGAAAAGTATCGGCAATATTGCATGTGTGTGCATGTATCTGTGTGTGTGAGAGAGCAAATACATTGAGTAATCAATATTGAATCCAACCTACCTCTGGTAGGTATATTCGCAGATGGTTGAGTAAAGATATGTACTTTGGGCTTCTGGCTTGCAATTTAGATGCGAATTTACGCGGACTTGTATCACTGAGATTGGCTCCGGCAATATGATTTCCATGATAGTAATCCCTGATCCCATTTTGATTTTCTACGGCTTCAAGTACGGGAACATTTTCTCTAGTCAACCAGTCAAACTGGTGAATACCTTTGATTTCAACTACAGCGGGCGAAGCTGAATTTAGCGCAAACCACGAGTGCATGCCCGCGTAAGTCTTTTTATCAGTGATTACATGGAAGACTATCTTTTCAGGTTTCAGAGATGACTGGACGGCAGAATTAACAACTACTGAAGCAGCCAAAATGTTATCGGTTGATAGGATAAAATGGTGGTAAGAGTTGTCGGAGAGCAAGGGAAGCAACTCTGGAGGTGGTAATTGTTTACGGGCATGAGCATTTGATGAATATTCATCCGTCAAACGCAAAGACAGACAATGAATCCCTTTAGGGATAGAGCTTGCCGCAAAGTGTTTATTCATCAGCTCTGCAAACTTAGACTCTCTGACTTCTCTTTCAAATTTCTCCATCTGTCACAAGAACATCATTTTAACAAAGAATGATATATTCATTTACAACACTTTCCAATATAAGAACTGTAATATCTAATGTAAACAAATATAATTGAGCCATTTGCAAGATAAATGATATTTTCTTTATATAAAGGCATGCCTGAGGGCCCAATGGATAGTACTTTTAAATCAGTGCCGTCAATTGGAAAACAGTGGTTTGTTCAAATTTTGCTATGCATCAGTGCTATGTTGTCTCTATTAGAGTATCGAAGAACAATAGCAATGTTCCAACTCCGTTACAGTATAGTACCGCTATAGCTAATATTAACAACACTGTTTAAAATATGAGAAAAATATGAGTTATTCTCTTAGAAATGGTTTTCATATTTCCTTAATATCATGATTTGTTTCCATGTCTAATTAGGATGGGGAGTTTACAAGTTTATGGTTTTGTCTTCTCTAATCACACTGAACATATCAATCACGTCATACCAATATAATTTATTATGGAGTATTCCTTTTTCTCCCTCTATAACTAAAAGTCTGACCTTGTAACTCAATAAATACAATTACTGTGCTAAAATTCACGCGTCAATCTAGTATATGCGTATAAAAATTCTGGAAGTTATTATAGGGTGCCGTAAACAAACTGCTATGGTTTATGAATAAGCTGAAGAAAATAATGATGATAATAAACTACTGTGTTTCTTAAAAAGATTAGGAATGTTGGCCTTTACAAATAAATAGCTGCAATTGTACATATTTGAAAATTGAAAATGTAACACTGAGAAATGGGGAAGAGAATTAAAAATAAAAAATAAAATTGAGCACCCCCATACATTGGAAAAAGAAATGAGAAATCATTGTGACAAATATACCAAAAATTTTAAAAAATAAATAAATCATTATATATCATGATAATAAGAGAAGCCTTAATATTAGGTATATGGTCTCATGAAATCTTAACTTTCTCCATAACTCACAGATATAGGTATTGGTCTTTTTAGGGCTACTACACTGTTCATCAGTCTCCTATCTCTGACAAAAGGGATTGGACTTTTTGAGCCTTCTGGGGTGTTTTCGCGCAAATATTTTATCCACTCCCAAAAAATTTCATATACAGAAGAACTTTCCTTTGAAAGAGTCACTCTCTTGACACTTTCTTATCCACACCAAAGAAATAATGCACACCTAGTACCAAATGGCGAGTCATCACCAGAGATGATAGATATCTCAAGTATGCTTGAGGCATTATCTTCCTAACTATATATGATACTCCTCCTCCATGGAGGGTGGGGGAAAATGAGGCAGTGTCCTTTAACGTGTGTTTGTGAGTTGGATTTTAGAGAGGAAGGCTTTGGAGGCTGTCTATATTTTACTATAATATTTGGTGTTTTAAAAAAATTGATCGATGTTCTTTTAATTTTTTTAAGTATTAAATATAAATCAAAATAGAGTCCGCTCTCTCGTTGCCTGATTTCATCAGTGCGTGAACCAATTGCGTCTGCATCAATTGTTTATGTTGAAATCGAAAATAAACATTTCTTCAGAAAGTAACGCAGTTATTGATAATAAAAATAATAATAGTAATAATAAAGCCGCTAACCCGTGTTAAGCACCAGGGTTGCTCAGAACCAGTTTCTCATCTATTCTTACACTTTCCCGCTTCTGTTTTTCTTTGGAACTCTTTTGTTTGGCATTTTTGGCAAATCCAAGGTGTTGCTACCAAAGTCCGTTGAAAATTTATGGTGAAAATATTTGATGCATTGGATAAAAATGGGGCAAATTTTTGTATGACGATGGTGAACATGAATGGAGCATAACATTATCCCCAAGAAGATTCTTTTGTTTTGTTGTTCGTGTTTTCCTCTTACTTTCATTTGATTTGTAGTTTTTTCACTTTATCTTAATGACTTTAGTTTAATCTTTAGTAAAAATAAATGAAACACGTAATATCGGATTCATAAAAAAGTATCAAGAATAGAGCTGATGTAATTCAGATGTTCTTTCAAATCTCTCTATATACATAAAATGAAATTGTGCTTAAGAATTTGTTTTCCAATGAACCCAAAGAAAAGCTCTATACTATTAATGCATTAGTTATCTCATCATCAAAACCTTTTAATGTTCAAACCCCATAACGAAAAACATGATGACAAAATGTGCTTTCTTCAAAAGCAATATCCAATTTCCAATAAGACTTGAAAAATCAAAAGAATTCAGCATCAGACAATCCTTTTCATACAAAATTAACCACAAAACATACAATTCTTTACGTTAAATGTAACAAGCAACTTACCATTCCCCTTAACATGAATGCAAAAGTTTTCGCATCATATTGGTTGTTCTTCATATCAGAAACAAGTTGACCAAAGGAATCTGGAAGCTTTAGATCAGCTGGAATTTCCCCAGTCTTCACTTCGTTAAGGATCTTGTAAAAATCTTTAACCAGCCTCTGCAGCAGCATTAATGTCAACATCAACCCAAGGGTTCAGATAATTGTTTTCAGCCAAAACATTATTAGATATATGATATTAATAGTAAGCTATTTTCCGCAACCAAAAACAAAAATAAAAAAGTAGTAAGTTATTTACCCCTGAATCGTCAACTCTGCCAAGAAGCCTCGGTCCTAACCGCCTGCCTAAACAATCTGGAGAACAAAACAAAGATAAGTTGAACATTATAAAAAATTTAAAAAAATAAATAAATAAGGCATAAAAGAATTGACTATCAGAATCTAATTTGAGTAACATAAAAAAGCAAGCTCATAATTTTGTTCTATCAATATACAACAACACAACGAGATGACTTTCCAGTCAATAACGCACGCAAAATATTCATTTCTTACATGAAAGATTTAATAGCTTGCAAGTTTCATCAATACATATCACTAAAGCATCTTCATCACTAAATTTTGAGTTCAAGTTAAGCCTAAGCCATGCAAACGAAACTGTTTGTATTGAATTTGTCACACAGACTGCAAACTCTTAAATCTCACATTCCACTTTCATTGAAAACTCAATGCTAGCTTCAAGTAGAAGCGCCTCGAATGCAGAATCAAGTCCAATGGAAGCTCAACCAAGCATACTATAAACCACCCAATCTCCTTCCGATCAATGCATATCAACTCTCAAGCTACAACTCATAGCTCCCTCACAACCACATGCCACAGAAAATCTCTCAAGCTACAATTGTAGCTCCCTCGTAACCACACACCATAGAAAATCTCTCAAGCTACAACTCATAGCTCCCTCATAACCACACACCATAGAAAATCTCTCAAGCTACAATTTGTTGCTCCCTCGTAACCACACACCATAAAAATCACTCATCGAGCATTAACTCTCAAACTACTGTACAATTTATATCCCCCACATAACCACTACAACAAAAAATGCACCTCAGTTCGTCAAATCGGAAGATTCATAGCTCCCACCTAACCACAACAAAAACGCACCCCAACACACAAATCGAAAGCTAACAGATATTCAAACATACACTTAATTGCATTTGCACTAAAACACTTCCAAGTTCAATGCCTTCATATTCATGAACATAAAAAAAATAAAAAATAAAAAATTTCAAACATAAGCACAAACAATTCAACAAACACACAAGTTTGACTAAAAATAAAAAACCAAGATCTAGCTCTAAACAAAATTAAAAAAGGATTAATAGTAAGTACCAAAAGAGGAGCACTTGTTGACACCTTCAAGGGTAACAAGAGCAGTGAGAATAAACACAAATGGCAACAAGAAAGCTAAGATAAGAATGGTGTGAAAAAGGGTTCGATAGGAAATGTGGCGAGCTGCGACCTTGATCTTCATTAAGTCAATAAACCCATTGTTTGTGCTCGATATTGTGATACTTCTCATACTAGGCGAGAAGTGAAGCTGCATCGTCGTTTATGCATATGCAGCCTCACATCCACAACAACCCTAGCAAAACAACAGTAACCCCAAATCAACAACAACAACCAAACCCATTTCATCAAAACAACAACCATCAGATTCAGATCCAGTAATCGGATCGCTCTCGAATCTGCTCCTGCTCAGATCAGATCGACGCAGTTTCGGATTTGCCTCTTCTTAATTTAGGTCTTCTGCAAGACCACATTTGGGGATTTTGAATAAATTAGAGATTTGAATCGATTAGGATTAAGATTATGAAGAAAAATAAATATTTTTCTGAGATGGATTTGGATTTTTGAGGTCAATTATAATTAACTGGTTTGAAGCTGTTGAAGTTTTGGAAGATTTAGAACTTTTTGAAGTTTTGAAGATTTTGAAGTTTGAGTTTCTCTCCCATGGATCAAAGAGGAGAGAGAAAGAAAGAAGAAAGAAGAGAGAGAAAATTTTGGAATGTGTTTTTTAGTTTTGTTGGTTGTTTTTGTTTCTTTTTTTTTCTCTTTTTTTCTTTTTTTTTTCTTTTAGTTTGTGCGGAGCTCTTTGATTGGTCCGATCTATAATTTCGTTTTTCACGGAAAATTTTATTTATTTATGATGAGAGAGAGAAAAGAAAAAAAAGTAAAAAAAAAATGTATGAGTCAAAACTCAAAAGCGTGTGATGGAGTTAGAGAGAGAGAGAGAGAGAGAGAGAGAGAGAGAGAGGAGGAAATGGGGGTGAGTGTTTGACCTTGAGATTAGGAGTAAGTGTAATGTTAGAGATAAATTTAGATGTTTACTATGTTTAAAGACAAGGGTTAAGGATTATGTGGATAGGATTATGGTAAAAGTGGTGGTTAATGTTGTTTAGTTAAGGTTAATTTGTCCATCTTAGTGTTAGTGTGAGATAGTGAATGTTGAGTAATTAGGGTTCTTTATGGTATCGATAGTGAAAAAAATTAAATTGAATCAAACTAAATGGTAAAAAAAATGTATTTAAATTGAACTAAATTATTTGATATACTGTTTCGAAATTTTCAATGTATCAAATAATTAAAAAGTTTTTTTCTCAAACTGAATTAAAGAATCAAATAATTATATTATTTTAATTTTTTAAAAAATTAAAACTTATTCTTAGTGTTATATTTTTAATTTCAATTTGATTCCGTTTTAATTTTGGTTCAATTTTAAATTATTTGTATAATATGGTTTAATTTTTTAATCAATAAAAATTTGATTATTTTAAAAAATTATTGATTCCGTTTTAACTTAAATTATTGATTCCGTTTTAACTTTAATCCTTTGACATGATAAAATACATTATATTTTTTTTATAAATTAATAAAGATAAATTATTGAATAAAAAATGAAAAACAAAAAGATGAGGTATAAAACATACCGCGTCAAACGACTAGCAAACACGATACTTGGATATGTTTAATTTATCTCTTAAAAAAATTTCAAAAGCACAAATAAAACGTGAATTTCACCAAATGTAAAATATTATTTTATTTAATTAAAAGATGTCACTGAACAATATTCATATTAGAAAATGCATGAATAGACAATATTGAGTATGTTTCAAGTTAAAGATTTCTCCAAATTCTCGTGTTAGCATATTTGATAGCACACATGATTATATGAAATTCAGCTTGAAAAGAGGTGCAAACTCCGATCTTAGTTGGGAAAGCTCCCAAAACTGTTCCTAAATTATCCGTAATATGCCACCACGTGTTGATATTCTATAATTTCCTGTTAAAGTTTCATTTGTGTTGCACTTGCACACGAACATGGAGGAATCATCCTAATTTCCTATGGAGTGATAATTCAGGTCAAGGTTCAAATCAAGGGCAGCACTACCAGAATTAATACATGCGGTTTTCTGGATCGAGCTCTAGTGTTGACAAGGATAGCTTCATGGCTCGACAGGAGTTGTGCATTTTGTAGTCGAATTTTGTGCAAACATGCTGCCGAAATATATTAACTTGTAGTTTAAGTTAGTATGTCGAATTGGGCCTTGCTTGTAAGCTCAATTGTTTAAGTTTACTTGTTGCTCAAGTTAGCTTGGTAGTCTATAAAGTCTAGTTATCTCAGGTTGTTGAGAGAGATTAATTGTTGGTATTCACTTGTAATCTTTGAATCCTTATTAAGAAAGTAAATAATAAAACAGTGTTAACCAATTCTTATTCTTCTTTTTTCTTCTTCTTTATCTTTTGTGAAACCTAATAGGGTTTCTTGTGTTTTTTCAAGAAATTCAATTTTTTTCTCATATTTTGGTATGTTCTTGACGACATTAATTCACAACAAACTAGTGTGGTGAGTATGGAGAAGGAGATGCCGTCAACAAAGTATGAGGTTGAGAAACTCACTTATGTGAATGATTTCAGTTTGTGGCGCTTGAAGATGCAAGTCATTCTTGTTAAACAAGGTTTATTAAAAATGTTGAAAAGATCGGAGAAGATGAATGTTGCCCTAATAGAGAAGGAGAAGACAACGATGGTTAAAAAAGCCTACGGTGTCATTATGTTGAGCCTTGGTGATAAGGTTCTTCGGCAAGTTTCAAAGGAGAAAACTGCAACTAGTGTGTGAACGAAACTTGAAGGTTTATATATAACGAAATTGATGGTTAATCGTCTCTACCTGAAGCAAACTTTGTATTCATTCAAGATAAGTGAAGACAAAGCCCTGACTAAGAAGTTGGATATGTTCAACAAGTTGATTCTTGATCTTAAAATTATCAAGGTCAAGATTGATAATGAAGATAAAGTGTTGTTGTTGTTGTTGTGTTATTTACCTAAGTCTCATGTGTACTTCAAAGAAACTCTCTTGTATGGAAGAGGGTCGTTGACCTTTGAAGATGTTTAATTTGCCTTGTACTCTAAGGATTTGAAAGAACGAAAGAAGTACAAATCATCTTCTGTTGGTGAAGGTTTGTCTGTTAAGGGGAAATTCTTGAAGAAAGGTGGTAGTTTTGAGAAGAAGAAGGGGAAAGTTCTACAAAAATTTTATGGTGGTAAAGCTCATAGTATTAAGTGTTATCATTGTAAGAAGAGGAGTCATACAAGAAAAATATGCACTGGTCGTTCTTGAATGCCAAGCATGCTTTAAATTGATCCATTATAATTGGCATTTTTTATCTCATTTGTTATGTTTCAATGGATTTATTCCATGTTTACATGTTATTCATCAATATGTTGCAAATACCTTTGGTTGCTTTGATTTGTGTGTTATTGTGTAGGAATAAGGCATAGAATATCAAAGAGTAAGACACAAGGAAAATTGACAAGGAAGCCAAAGGAATTGTGACGATTTAGCATATTCGCTGGGCGAACAACAACGAGCAGCCAATGAATATTCGCAGGGCGAAGTAACAGCGAAGCCCCAACGAACTCTCTCAGATTAGAGGCAGAAAGAAAAGGATTCTAAGTTCGTTGGGCAAACTTGTAGCGAGTGTTCGATGTGTGAAGTTTCAGCGAGGTCCCAACAAGGAGGAAACCTTAGATGGCAGTAAGTAAAGGGTCATAAGTTCGTTGTGCGAACTTGTAGTGGAAAGGCACGCATGGCGAAGAAGAGTTCGCTAAGTGAGTTCAGATATTTTCCAGGGGCGGTTTAACTGTTCAGAGGCACTTCAGGTGCCATAAAGTAGCCCTCGTTGGGCAAAGAAAGAGTTCACTAGGCAAACTAGGCAGACTTTAGTTGTATTATATAAGTACTTTTCACACATTTTGGGATCATAACCCCCATTTTCACATAGAAACTCATTTCTTCACCAAAAAGTGATATTTTGCAAATAGAAGTTGGATTCGCATCCGAGTTCGATTCTTTTACGTGGATACTCATTAATCTTCTCTCAAGACTTGTAAAGCAAGATACCATGGTTATGGGTAGCTAATTTCTTTTGTATCAAAAGTAGAGGTAGTCTACCTTAACTTTATTTATTCCTTTTGATTAGCCTTGTATGTGAACAAGTGATGATTAATATATGATGAATATTTTTGTTCTTAATGATTCATTCTTTATGGTATCGATAGTGAAAAAAATAAATTGAATCAAACTAAATTATAAAAAAATGTATTCAAATTGAACTAAATTACTTTTATTTATTTAAAATTAAAATAAATTATAATCATTTATTTGTTATACTATTTCGAAATTCTCAATCGCATCAAATAATTAAAAAGTTTTTTTCTCAAATCGAATTAAATAAAGCCAAATAATTATATTATTTTAATTTTAAAAAATAAAACTTATTTTTAGTATTACATTTTTAATTTCAAATTGATTTGGTTTTAGTTTCGGTTCAATTTTAAAATTATTTGTATAATATATTTTAATTTTTTAATCAATAAAAATTTGATTATTTTAACTTAATTCATAATTTTTTTTACTAAACCTATTAATAATTATTCAAACAAAGATCAAAGAATTAAAGTTTATTAAATTATCAAACTTATATTTTACTAAATTATTATATTTTGATCGAACATGATTAATAATTTGAATACTTGATTTAGTGACGTAGATATAATTTTGATTAATTTCGATAATAATGTAATTTAGATTGGGTTAATAAAAAAGCATGGTTCTATTTATGAACTTAAATGTTCATCAACTCTTACTAATTTTTTTATTTTTAGGTACAAACTCTTAATAAGTTAATAGTAGAGTTTTTTTTTTTTTTACCAAATAATATTATAAAATGAGAATTTGATTTAAGGCAAAAGAAATATAATATGCAATTATGAAAACACATTTTAGAGAGATATTCTGATAACATTAGAGGAGAAAGACTATGAATAGGTTTTTTTCTAGAAGAATCAACGTCTAGTATGTTTTTGATATTTAGGTTTATTTGGTAGATGGTTGTATTATAAAGACATTAAAAGAAGCTTTAATTAATTCAAAAATTTTTAATTTAGTTTTAGATTTCACTTTAGTCCCTCATTTAATAAATGTTACATTTTAGTTCTTTAAAAATCATTATGTTAGTTAAATTAATCATTTTTGTTGAATGT